ATTGAGGACTGATTTTGAGAAGTCAGGATGAGGAATTGCTATCATAACTAGGGATAGTCAGGAAGTCCTCGGAATAGTGATTAGTAAGCAGTAAGATAGTAGTAGTAGTGTTGTAAGTCTGCGGGGGTAGCCGTAGCATTCACTGGCAGCCAAATAGTAGTAGTAGTGTTGTAAGTCTGCGGGGGTAGCCGTAGCATTCACTTGCAGCCAGACAATATTAGGGGTTGTAGGTCTACGGGTGTAGTTGTAGCATTCGGCAGGTTAGTAGACATCATGAGCATGTTGTTTGGACGCAGGGGAGAAGCAGTAGTATCCACCAGTTCATGTGTAACAGCTAGCATACAGAAATCCAAGTGTTGGATTTCGAATTTTTCTAGAGTCTAGTCATGGTTGAGCCAGTAATGCAACAAATGGATCGTCATCACAGTCATGAGATCAGTGAAGCAGCGAACCATTGGGGTTTATGTATGCTAAGGGCTACCATTAGCCTGGGATCCATCATTATAGTCTTGGATTTGTTGATGTTTGGATTCGACGTTTGGACCCGGTCGGTTGGATCGGGAGGTCGTTAGGACCACAGTAACAGGATGACCAGTGGAAACTAGTTCCAAAGAAAGGTTTCGTTCAGGCAATTCAGTGTTTCAAGCAGATCAGTGTTTCAGGCAGTTCAGTGTTGCAGGCAGTCCAGTGTTTCAGGCAGTTCAGTGTTTCAGGCAGTTCAGTGTTGCAGGCAGTTCAGTGTTTCAGGCAGTTCAGTGTTCCAGGTAGTTCAGTGTTTCAGATAGTTGTAGTATTTTGGGCAGTATTAATTTGGTATCGGACTGCAAGTTCAGCCATATTAGTTGGACCTGGGTGGTCTCAGTTCATCCGGAAGCCAGATATGGAATAGCAGAATTTTCAGTCAGTAGCAGTGCGAGTATGCAGCGTATGGTAGGATTCAGTCAGTTGTTAGTGGGGTGCGCGACACCAAATGGTAGTAGAAAGAATGCCCAGTGAATACTGGAAACGATGATCCGTGCTGGGAGTAGCGGGAGTAATAGATTTGGTGGAGACAGGGTCTTCGCAGTGGCAGAGTAGATAGGTGGTTATGGAGCATCGCCTTGGGAAGGCAAGGAAATCGTGCAAGGAAAGAAGGGGTGAACCCCTACGGGGTCAGTGCAGTATTTGGAGATTATCAGACGGATTGTCGGTTGAGTGAGTTGCGTTTCCAGAATGTTCAGGGTCAGGATGGACCCGAGATTGTTTTCTGTAAGGTTTGGCATTGATATGAATGACTGAGCAGGTGGTCAACGAAGGTAGGCAGCTGGTGTTAGAATGAACAGTGGGTTATTGGAGGCAGATCGCAGTCGGTGGATCGTAGCGAACTTCGAGGATGAAGTTTAGTTTAAGTGGGGGGAGTTGTAACACCCAAAGTTGGAAAGCCAAGAAAAGAAAGAAAACCCCAATTTTAAGGAGAGACTCAGCGAGTCCAAGGAGGGACTCGGCGAGTCCGAGCGGGGTCCGGGTCGAGGAGTAAGCGACCGACTCGGCGAGTCGACCAAGGTGACTCGGCGAGTCTGGTATGGGCAAGGAAAACCCTAAATCCGAAACTTGGAGCTTATTTAAATGCCTCATTCTCTTCCCTAAGGCTCCTTTAGTGCCTCTTTCACTAAGAACAATAAACCCTAGCCGCTATAATTGTTTTGGAGCAAGATCTAACCCTTGGTGAAGCTTTTTGGAGCTTGAGAGAGAGGATAGTCATTGTGGAGTAAGAAGGGGGCCTTGGATCCAGAGTTGGTGGAGCATTTATGAGCATTAAAGGTAATAAATCGTTACCTTCCCTCTTTTGGTTTAATAGATCAACCTTGGCTATGAGATTTGGAGCTTTTATGCCATGATTAAGAACTATTTTGAGTTAGAAGCCCAGATCTGAAGTTGCTACTTCAGATCTGGGTGTATCTTGGCCTGGAAAGTCATAAAGCATCTGTTTTTGGGTGGATAGTGAAGCCTCTTTGTCTTAAACCCTAGTTTGGATTGTTTTAAGCTTAGATCTCTTGATCTACACGTAAAGTTTGCCACTTTACGTGAGGGATAGGCCTTACAAGTATGGATCTATGAGTTGGAAGCCCTGTTTGGCTCGAAAAACCACTGCATGGATTAAGGACTGAATGGACTCGGCGAGTCCTTTGAGTGGACTCGGCGAGTAGTATGAAGATGGAGGCTAACTCGACGAGTTGGATGAACAACTCGGCGAGTATGTTGAAGATTGCCTTGGACTCGGCGAGTCTATTCTTGGACTCGGCGAGTCAAGTCGCGAAACCCCAAACCCTTCGAGTCAAGGCTCAGCTTAGTAAGTTGAGTGAGGACTCAGTGAGTTGGACAGAACAGAACTCGGAAATCAGTGAACTCGGCGAGTAGGGTCAACATGGAAGGTTGACTTGGGCCAGGACTTTGAGTTTGACCAGAGTTGAATTAGTTGACTTTTAGAGGTCTGTCAAGCTAAGTGTCGCTTTGTTATTGGTAGCTCGGAGAGTTAGAGGAGCAGCGTTTCAGAAGGTGGTTGGTTAGCAGTCCGAGGGTTACCAGCAGAATTCAGCAGTTCAAGTGAGTTTCCTTCCAGTAGGAACGGGTCTAAGGCCACAATGTCGGCCCGTTTAGTTAGCAGTAGTTTCCGGACTTCGGTCTGATGCAGTAGTTACTATGTTTGATGCCTTCGTGGCTCAGACAGGATTTATGTGCTATGTGTTATGTGTTATGTGTTATGTGTTATGTGTTCCGGGCTACGGCCCGATGCAGTATGCAGTATATGTGTTTATGCTAGTTGATATTTTATGCTATGCTATGTTCAGTCAGTTTCCGGACTTCGGTCCGATGCAGGGGGCAAGGCCCCAGTTAGTCCGGACTTTGGTCCGATGCAGGGGACAAGGTCCCAGTCAGTTTCCGGACTTCGGTCCGATGCAGGGGGAAAAGCCCCAGTTAGTCCGGACTTCGGTCCGATGCAAGGAAAAGGTCCCAGTCAGTCTCCGGACTTCGATCCGATGCAGGGGCAAGGCCCCAGTTAGTCCGGACCTCGGTCCGATGCAGTGGGCAAGGCCCAATATGTGCTTTATATGTTATTGTATGGTATGGGGTAGTTTGGGGGAGCTCACTAAGCTTCGTGCTTACAGTTTCAGTTTTTGGTTTCAGGTACTTAGTTTTCAAAGGAGGAGCTCGGGAAGATTGCAGTGCACACACCATAGTCAGCTAGCCTGGGATGTTTTACTCTGATAATAAGTTTGTATTTCGAATTAATGCTACGAAATTATGTTATGTTTTATGATACGGTTTTTATGAATATGGTTTTGGTAATGTTTTAAAAGAAAATTTTAGTCGTGATTTTTGGGACGTTACAATTAGGTTTTCTCAAATAATGGCTTGAATAAACCTTAATCACACATTGACAAAAGTATTGTAGACATTCGATTGAAGTTGATTCACCAATTCGTATGTATCTATCAAAGAGGTCACCAGTTGTGCTATATGCCAATTAGCGTATGGCAGCAGTGCATTTTTGTAAAGGGGAAAGACCATTGTTTCCTAAAGCATCTTTTCTTTGTTGACAATAAATAGAATGGTTAGAGATACCATTAACTATTTGAACAAATAGTTCCCGCCTCATTCGAAATCTTCGTCTAAACGTTTGAGGTGGGAAAACAGGATGCTCATCGAAATAGTCTTTCCAAATATGTTTATGTCCTTCTTCATGATTTCTATATATATCTTCCACTTTGTCTAGGATGTCTTGAACTTTCAGCATCTGACTGTTATGCTTCCAAGCATTTTAGCTCCTTATATAGTTGCAATTAGAATTACTTATGAGATGGTTGATTATGAATTCAGAAGCAGAATCATCTGAGGATGATGATGACATCGTATAAGAAAGAAATAAGAAATAGTTTGAATTGGTAGATATGAAATAATAAAAAGGTTGTATTCTTTTATAGCAAAAATTCAGAGTCAAATGAAATTCAAATTACATTTAAATGAAATCCAAATTAAAGTAAAATGAAATCCAAATTATATTCGAACGAACTTGAAATTAAAGTAAAATGAAATTGAAATTAAAGTGAAATGAAATCCAAATTAAAGTTAAATGAAATTGAAACTGGAGTAAAATGAAATCCAAATTAAAGTTGAATGAAATTGAAATTGGAGTAAAATGAAATTGAAATTAAAGTGAAATGAAATCCAAATTAAAGTTAAATGAAATTGAAATTGGAGTCAAATGAAATTGAAATTAGAGTCAAATGAAATTCAAATTAAAGTAAAGTGAAATTCAAGTTAAAGTCAAATGAAATTCAAATTAAAGGCAAATGCATACAAGATGTTTAACACTACAAATAAAGACGAACATATTATATTCTCACTCACACCTACCAACCATCTGATACACCAATCATGAATCCAAATTACTATACACACTTGTTATCTTCTTATGATCTCGAAAATCTAAACAATCATCCACAACATCCATACCAAAATCCAAACAATCATCTACAATATCCATATCCAAGTCCAAACAATTATCCACAATATCCATACCCAGATCCAAATAATCATTCACAACATTCATACCAAAATGAATACCTAGATTCTACCAGCCCGAATCCTCCTCATATTCCAGAAAATGAGCCAACACCAATAGAAACTCCTACCAACAAACGACAAAGTAATAAAAAAAACCTACTGGAGCAAAGAAGAAGAAATGTTGTTGGCAAAAGCTTGCCTACAAATTTCAGAAGATAGCATTATAGCATTACTGGAAGTCAACAACGTGATAAAGAGTTCTGGCGACGAATTAGTACGTACTACGAAAAAAGCAACATGTCGAACATTGCAAGAACTCAAGCCAACCTCAAAACGCATTGACATCACATGAACCCATTTGCAGTTGCATTTAATCAAATGTATATAGTGTTGAAAAGTCAACACCTCAATGGATGGTCTAAGGATGATCTCAAAAGTGCAACTTTTGAGCATTATCATGCTAAATATGGTGCCGATTTTAGGAACAAACATATTTGGAATATCGTTAAAAATAAACAGAAATGGAAAGGTTTAAGCACTGCATCTGGGGCATCTATGTCTTCATCAAGTACAAAATCTTTCATTGACCTGGATAATGATGAAGTTACAACTCGTCCAATTGGTAGAAATGCAACAAAAAAGCAGCAAAAGGGAAAGCTATTAATTCCACTTCGTCATCTGGTAATAGGCTTGATAAAATACTTGAAAAACATATAGAAGAAAATAAAAAGACTTTTGAACACTACCAAAACTCTTTGGATATAAATAATGCATTAAAAGAAAGAATGATGAAAATCTTCTCATTAATTATAATTAACAAAATTAATTCCTGATTAATTCTTAAATACTACTATTTCCAATTAATATATTAATTATATAATATACTAATATATTTCTTTTTTCAATTTCTAATTAATTTATTAATCATATAATAAATTAACAAATTAACATCTATTTCCTTCTATTCAGTTACTAGTTATAAGAGCAACCTAAAAATCATTTTGCTTCTAATTCAAGAATATACCAATTTAGTTATTGGCTTAAACACTTTAATCCAACAATTTTTTCTAATTATAATTATCCTAGTTTAAACCTAAGCAAGTAAGAGATTGTACAATTATAAAATGTATCCTTTAACCTTTAAGAAAATATCATAAATTTAACACACACATACACACACACACTCCTCTTGCAAGTCACACAGACAAATATTGATTTGGGTTTTACGACTTGGAGAAAAATCAACACACAAACTGTGTTCAAATTTGTGCTTGCTTGAACTACTCTGGGTGCGACTGTGATCACGATAGGATAATCTGGACCTTTGTTTCTTCTTGATCATCGAATTAAAGTAAACACACAAACACTAGTTGTAGCTTATATTGTTGTGGTAATTTTTAATGAACATGAAGATTACTAGATCTTGATGGTTTTGTTTTATTGCTTCTGTTGCATGTTTAGTTTGATTTGTATTTTAAATAACCATCAAATTCCAACAAAAACAACATAAAACAAGATAGAGATAATAATTTTATCACATAGTTTTATATAAAAGAAAATGGTGCATTTAGGACATTTATTCGGCTAATTTGTGTTAAAGTATTATCCTTTTTCACTAACTCATAAGTATCTCTACATACATTTGTTGCAAATAGTTAATTATGGCACTATAGAAAAACTTAAATTATGATTCATTTTAATATAAACTTTTAGGAAATAAAGTACAAAAGATAAGAACAAGATATGAGATTAAGTATATTACTAAATTATCACTTAGTGCACTATGTGGGAATGATAAGATACTTATATTACCACACTAGTCGTAATTCATATATTTTATTCTAACATTATCATACTTTTGATTAATAAAATTACTAAATTACCACTCATGGCATTCTGGAGGAGGCACTCGATACCTAGCTCGATCGTTACAATAGTCATAATTCATATACCTTCTTTTCACATTCTCATAAGCTCTTAATTGACGATTGTTTAATTGCCAAAACTTTTGGTTATTCCATGGATACCTTGAGGAATAGCAGTCCTTATTAGGACTAGTGGGTGATGAGACACAACCATCAATTCTAAAATCTTGAAAATGAGCTAGAAATGGCGCATGAGCCCAATTAGCCTTCGTTTTACCTCCATCGGTGGCCCAACTAGACCCATCCCATAAGCTTACAACCAATTGCATTGCTTTGTTAGGAAATCCCACACCATTCATCATGTTATTTTTGAATACCCTTATTGGTATGTCATCCACAAAAAACCTTGAAACAAGATTATAATATAGTTAGGCCTTATTTAACAATGTTTTTGTATGTTAAGAACTAGTTATATATATATATATATATATATATATATATATATATATATATATATATATATATATATATATATATATATATATATATATATATATTCTTTGAACGATGGATCATCTTAAATTTGAAATATGTGAAACGTGAGATTTCTTCATTTTAGAATGTTTAAATTTATGGTATCCGTAAAACCCAATATATTTCTAATTAGAGTATGTGCCATCATAATATATTTTTTTTCTTAAGACATTCTTCACAGTAATAATTTTTTATTAGTATTCCATACAAAAAACATGAGGAAAGAAAAAGAAAAATTTAAGTCTCACTTGACAACGTTTTGTTAGTGTTAAATTCAAAGAAACAGCTTCTATATGCTAATTATTATTTTAGCAAACGCGACCATTTTTATACGTAATAGCAATATGTTATAATCATTTTCGTTGTGGGTAATGTATTTCTTTTACCGCACACCATAACAATATATTTCATCATATCAAAGACTTTCGGGACCTTTCCTAAAATAAAATGGATGAAATAAAAGTAGGTTGAGGAAAATACATCAATATAATGTTAGAAAAACGAACCTCAAAAATATAGAAATATATTGCAATGAAAAGAATAGATGAATATGTTCTAAGTTTGAAGTGTACATTATAATTATGGAAAAACTAAATATCCTTCTACTTTTTATTTTATTTTTACTCATATAAATAATGACATTTGTAAGTCAATAATTCTCTCTTTAATTGACATTTGCCTTGAGGTAACGAGTATGAAGATAAGTATAAATAATAACACTCGAGCCCCTATCGTTCATAGGTATGATTGTTTTGATTTTTTGTAATAGTTTGAAGTTTTAAAATATAAAAAATTGATTTATAATTTTTTAAACTGATTTATAAATTATAAATTTTATATTAATGTTTGCATGATATACACAACCAATTTAAAAATAACTTTCAATGGGTTAGAATTGTCTTTTTTGTTGATGGACTCGGAATTGTGTTCAAATGAAATAAATAAAAGCTAATGGAACCATTTAAGACATCTTAAAACAATTATAATGTCGATAATGTATAGTTTTTAGGATAAAATGAGATGAGTACATACACAATCTGATGTTGGTTCCACAATAGTTTGTAGTAATGGAAGTCTGTCGAGGGATCGAACCAAAGACGAATTCTTTGCTCTCTACCTCCAACTCCATTTGCAAATACGTTAGTCTGTAGGGTAATAGGTTTGCCTGGTTTGTTTCCTAAGAACTCAAAGTCCAATTCATTGTGCGCACCAAGATTTGTATTTAACTACATCAAAGTTTAAGCAAAATTTTGAAAATGAAGGTATTGAGAAATATGCAAAGACAT